ACCAATTCTGACTACTACAGGGTCTGACTACCAAAAGTCTTTCGACGGAGAGCCGCCTACAGATGACGAACAACTCGAGACGAACCCCGACAAGGTTCTCCTTAAAGGCCGTCAGAACAACGACGTCGATCTGTCCGCGTACAGCGAGCCGTTTGAACCCCGACCCGTGTGCAGGCCTGCCCCGAACTCGTCGGCATTGTGGGATGTCTGCTGGCGCGGTTTCTATATCTCCGACGCGGCTCACTGGCTCCCGATCTTTGGCGGGCACATGGATATCGACTTTCCACCTGCCGACGGGATATTCACTGGGCAAGGCGGTGACGCATTCGTAACGTTCACCATTTTCGGCAAACGAGTTGGGCGGCAGGTCGCCTTCACCAAGACGCATAAAGATGACCGAGCGAAGCAGTTTACGTGGGAAGGCACGCTCAACGACGCTGAAGACGAGCTCAGAGGAACGTATTGCTATGGCCGGCCCGTCGACGATAGCACTACTTTCCCGGTAATCAAGTCCGGCGAGGGTATGGGATCGTTCAAGTTGAACAAACGCCCGCTCTATTACCATCTGTACCGCCCTCCGGACGCAGCATTCGACTACAACAAAGCGCGAGCGCTTTGGCGGTATGCCTTAGACTCGGTCCTGCACGCTGTGCGGACCCAAGGGCGCAAGCTCTCATGGGATTTTCTCAAGGACCGCCGACATCGACGAGCCGAATACGTCGAGCGATTCATGCAGCTTGACGAGTTCAACGGAAACTGGAAGGATCTGACGGTCCGCGATTGGATTGACGGGGGTGAAGCAATGGGGATGTTGAAGATTGAGATGACCGCGACAGCGGCAGATATCGCCTTCTATCGATCATTGGCCAGGTGCATCATGCTCAGAGAAGTCATCCACGCGTGAGTACATAAGCACCAGTCACATCTGCGCGACTTATGGTGGACTGTAACAGCGGTGTAACATGCTTTGTATGCCGGCGCCGCGAGGGATTCCCGGCCACACGTGCGACCTGTTTGGAATGCTCTTCGGCGAGCAATGGTATAGACGGGGACACGCTTGACTTCTGCGCCGAGCACATGGTGTGCGACTCCGCGTATGGAGACGACGAGAACGCCCACAAACCGTCGCATCGGATAGTGCAGGTCCGTAAGTCTATTCCTCAACGACTCATCCATGGGGTCGTCAGCAAAGCGCAAGACCAAGTACAGCTCATGGATTCGTTCCCAACACATACCGACGAGAACGGTATGTATGCTCGTGGTACTTGCTAGCTGGTTCGTCCTGACATGTCGTGCGCAGACAACTGTGTCATGCACCCGAGATGCATCAGGTGCAACAAAATCCCGGAACAGCCCTACTGGTATTGTTTGGAATGCAATGGTACGTCCCGCAGCCTGCTCTCTGCGATTGACGATATTAATGTCCAACACCGTACCCCAGGGAGCACATACATGTGTATGTCCTGCAACGTCAAAGACGAGAAAGAACGCCTGTCTCGCTTTGCCAGTCGAGAGGACTATTGCTCTGCTGCAGCTAACACTATGCAAGGCCACAAGTGGACGCATTCCATGATCCTGTACCAAGTCGTACCCGAGATGGAGGAGCCGCTCTCCGTAGAAGATCGGTTATCGAGTATGGAGGAGAACATTCGAAATCTTGAGGACTCAATTCGTTCTCGCGAAGACGAGTTCAGCGAGCAGCTTCAGCGCCTGGAAGGGATGCTGACGCAGCTCGTGTCGATGCTGGCGGAAAAGCGTGCCGGTTAGTAATTTAAGGGAGTGTTCGGAAGAGGCTGCAATGGTATAATTGAACGTTGTATCAACCTCTTTCTCTGAGCATTTCTGCTATTATTCATCCAAATTTTCCCTGAGAGTAAGTTGACGTGGATGGCCGGTGAGCGTGAGGACGACGCACCGGATTCTAGCAACTCGGAACCGTTTTCAGGGTCCAAAGAGGCATCAAAAGCCCGTTGGCTTATGCATTTGGTTTCATGGTGTGCTGTGAGATAGCCACAGAGATATGAATAGTGAAAGCTCGAAATTGTTAGAGATATGAGTAAACTGCTCATGATCAACTAGAACGTTGGTCTGAAACCTAGCCCTGGGTTGTTCGCACGACGCATTTCGCGTTCGTCACGAGTGACAGTCACAGTCACAAACGTGACGGTGACATTTGCGGATGGGTGTCGCGCGTTGTCCGCCGTTCACGACGTTCTGCTCGCCACTTCCTCCGCCTTGTCGACGGCGTTCTGGAAAACATCTCAAGGATATTGAGCGGATTCTTTTACCTGAATTTTTGTCCCTCTCGCGCCTTACCCTCAACTGCTCGTCTCCTCAACCATCTTCAACGATCAACATCCATGACGCGTTTCCGGGCATTTTATTCGGACAGTGATGAAGAGTCACTGTCAGACGACGCTGTAGAGGTCGAGGAGAATGTAGAGTCCGAACCAGAGTCATCAGCGGAGCAGGGGGAACCTCCAAGCCGGCGTGGGGTTGGCACAGTCGATAGCGACATGTACACAGACGATGATGGTGCCGGGGATGAAGACCCGCCCTCACGAGAGTCCTCTGCATCTCCACCACCTGCAACTAGTAGGCCAGCTGACCCGACACTTACACCATGGGCCCGCGAGCTAGGCGTCGACCGCCAGAAAATGCACGTCATGCAGACGTCCTTCTTTCGCGTCCCGGAGGAAGAAGCCGCTCTCAAGAGCATCTCTCAGCAACCAGCCGAGACTTCCAGCAAACGGCTGACCCTGCCTTCACTTACGCGGAAGCACAGCAGAGACTCAGATGGTGATGGACTACGTGCCGACTCTAGACAAGTGAGTTCTGTGGTCTCCGCTTGGACCTTTCGCGTACGATGCTAAACTACGTAGCGAGCTTCTTTCGAACAAGATATCGATCCCGCTCCATTGCAGCCATCAAGAAAGTACGCGAGAGTTGAAAGCTCCTCGTCTGCGTTTACGGGCCACGAAGGTGTCTTCATAGACTCCGGTCTTTCGTTCGGACGTTCTTTTGGCGTATCTTGGGGACCTGGCGGGAGTATAGCTCATCTCGGAAGTCTGTGTGGACCTTATAGCACATCGTGGGTGCGATATCCTACTTTTGAACGTCGCTTAACTGTTTCGTTCAGTTCAAATACCGCCGCTACTTCGGTGCTGAAAGTCGGATCTCTCCCCGCGCTTGCAGTACCTAAAGACGACTCGCTGGACCACGCTTCAAAACTCCTTTCTCACAATCTCAGCAACACACGTATACAGCCGGACGCAGAAGGAGTGCCATGGGCAGATCCGTCACGCACGCTCTCCTTCGCCTCGTTCGCTTCTCTCTTCCCCCAAACCGACCGATCATTTGAGGCCACACTGTTCCGCCTCGGACAAGCTTTATTTGACCCCATTGAGCTTCACCTCGGCGACTCCGTCAGTGTCGACATCCGGAATCGTGTCAGCGCTTTTCGCCGCAAGACAGCGCTATCGAAGTGGCTCCAGACGGCGGTAGCATCATCGGTAGAGAAAGATGTGGAGGAGTCCTCTGGAGAGTATAGTTGGGCGCAAGCTGTATTCGCCTTGCTGACTGGTTGTCAAGTGGAAAAAGCCGCCGACACCGCCACAGAGGCAGGCAACGTGAAGCTCGCGACGCTATTGGCCCAGGCCGATGGAGACGCAGAGTTTAAAGAAGATCTGAAGAATCAGCTGGCATTATGGCGCGAGCAGCGCATTGATGTGCACATCGACGAGAACGTGCGCAAGGTTTACGCGCTGTTGGCTGGTGTCGTGGATCTGCTCGAGGGTTCGAAAGGCACCGGCCTCGAACGCTGCGTCGATGTCCACCTGGCGAAGGGTCTCGACTGGAAGCGCGCCTTCGGCCTGCACCTCTGGTTCAGCCAACCGATGGACTCGCCGATCCCGACTGCGTTCGAGGCCTACGATCGTGCACGGAAGGACGATCCCCAGAACGTGGCGGCGCCTCTTCCCTGGTACCGCGAGTCTCCCGCCGGCGTGCGAACACCCTGGAAGCTGCCGCCGGGGGCAGAGCCACCGGACGCGCTGTTCTCGCTCATCCAGCTGTTCGCGGATCCTGTATGTTCGCTGTCCGACGTTCTCACGCCGCTCTCGTTCTCGCCGTCCCCGCTGGACTACCGCCTGCCGTGGCACCTGTACATCCTGATGTCGCGTTGTCTCCGGACTCGTGACTTGGCCGATCGCGGCGAGGTGGTGGTGGACGAGCGCCAGGGCGGAGATGGGGACGCGGGTGCGGAACCCGAGGTTGAGGGACACAGTCCGGGCGCGGACCTGCTCGCGAGTAGCTACGCGCTGCAGCTCGAGAGGGCGGGCATGCTTCAGGAGGCTGTCTTTGTCCTACTTCACATCGAGGGATCCGCAGGGTAAGCTTCCGCCGGTCGTTGCCGCCTTGACCGAAGTAAGCTGACACGATCTCTGGTAGCCGCAAAAGGGCGATCAAGGAGATGCTCTCGCGGAACGCGCCCCTGCTGGACGACTGGATGACGCGGGGATTGGTGGGCAGCCTGAAGATCCCCATGGCGTGGGTGATCGAAGCCAAGGTACGGGCACAACTCTCCGCAGCGGATCATCGTCTTGAAGTTTTTCTTTTCTTTTTTTAATGTGAAGGCAACGCACGCTCTTGACAACGGTGAGGTGTATCACGCGTACGAGCTGTATCTTACCGCCGGCCTGTACAATCCGGCACACGACCTTGCTGTGCTCGAGCTGGCGCCGGATGCCGTCATCCACCGCGACCTCGATCTGCTGAAAGCCATCTTTGATCGCTTCGCAGCTCACCCTGTGGACGACTGGAACGTCCGTGGCAAGGTGCGGGGGCCTTCCGGTGTGTCGACCGTCTGAACTGACGCACACACATACAGGTGTTCTTGGACTACGTGCACGCGATGACGCGCATGCCCGACCTGCGGGATGAGCTTGACGCCGCCGCTGCCGACGCGGTGCCCGACCCGGAGTGCGCGGCCGAGATCGAGGAGCTCGGCCGGACGGTGCCCAGAATGATCAGCCTCCTGCCCGACATCCTCCGCGATCGCTCGGACCTGCGCCACGGCGCGGCGCTCGCCGAGATGATCGCTGGGCTGGCGGCGGGCCTCGACCGGCTGCGGCCGCTTGCGGTGAGCCTCTTTTTGCCTTCTTTTTTTCGTTCTTCTTTTCTCTCCCCTCCCTCTATCTTTTTTTGGTTGGGTTCGTTTGATGCGGAGTTCGCTGATGCGGTTGATGGGAACAGCTCGGGACGCATCTCCGTGGGGCCAAGGTCGCGGAGGCGACGAAGCTGCATCACATCCGCGCGGTCACGTACGAGAGGTTCTTGCGGACCATCGAGGTAGCGTAGCCGTTGTGTGTGTGTGCGTGTACAATGGGTTTCGGAATGCTACGGTTAATGCGGGCGGGCGGCCCGCGTGCTGAGGGTCTTCGAGTGCGAGGTCGCGGACGGAGGGACTGTGTCATGCATCATGTGTCGTCAGTCCCGCCGGACACGTCGGTGCCAGCACAACAGTCCGGAGTGCCATCGGAGGCACCACACTTGCGCCTGTGCATGTTCGTGCAAAGGGCGAGTCGTTTTGGTCCACACTTTGTCGCGCGCGCGCGCGCTGTGAAACGGGGGCTGCTCGAACAGCGAGTGAGACACGCCACAGAAGCGGTGCAACATCAGGCATAAATAAAGCGTGAGCAAAGGGTCGCGGAGTCTACAGTCTAAAACGAAGGCGGGGCGGGGGACGTGTACAGCAGTGTGCTACAGGAGTTGTTGTCGTCGTCTGGGGCTGCATCTACTACGGGCTACAGACTGTTCTGCGGAGGCAGGCGCGCATGGGCGGGGTATATAAATAAACGCGCGGGCGCGAGGGCCCGACGGTCAAAGCTATTGATACAGGGTTAGGAGTGGAGAAGCGAAGAATGATGGGATGGGGCATGGAGAGTGGCGCGTGCGCGTGCGTGCGTGCAAGTGCGTACGTGTGTGCAAGACAGACACGGCCGGCGCCACGCGTAGGCGATCTCAGTCGATGTTGTGGCCGCAGACGAAGAGGACGGTGGCGACGAGGCAGGGCTCGAGAAGGCCCATCTGCATCGCCTCCTGGGTGAGCTCGAGGATGACCATCGTCGGGGCCCTCGCGACGCGCGCGAGCACCTTGGGCGCGGTCGTCTGGGTGCGGTACAGCTGCAACGGTACCATGTGCGCGTCGTGAGTTTTTCGCAGTGCCAGGAACGGACGAGAGGTTGGTACGTACGCAAATGTAGCCTTCGATGGGGGCCCAGGCGAAGACGACTCCGCGGACTTCCATCGTGCGTTGGCTAGCAGAAACGGGAGGGAAAGAGAGAGAGAAAAGAGGAAGGAGAGCGACGTGAGCTGCCAGTAATGCGACTGGGGAGGAGGGATACAAACTACACAAACCTCTGATCAGGCGAGAGACGGAGCCATTCGCGGATGCGCTGCTTGGGCGTCACGCCGCGAATCTCGAGGGTGGCGTTCGGCTGCCACTGGACCATGGCGATGTTCCGGCTCTCGTTGTCCTTCCAGATCGTGCAGGACGGGGTCGTGGCCTCGGTCACGATGCGGTACGCGACGCGGTTCTGGGGGCCGACGACCTGGCAGTTGAGGATGGTGGTGTTGAACTGGGAGAACTGGAACGTGACGCTGTCGGGCTGGATGGAGCGGGGCGGGGTGGTGGTGACTGGGAGCGAGGGGAGTGCGCCGAAGACGGAGGGCGCGGTGGCCCAGTTCTGCTGCTGCTGCTGCTGCTGCTGGGACTGTTGCCATCCACCTTGGGTATAGGGGTTCATGCTGAGAGATGTGAGCTTTGGAGAGGGTGGTAGCTGTGGAGAGTCTTGGCGGTCTTGCGAATCTGACTTTTTGGCCATCGAGACGGAGTGGGCTATATACCTGTACGATGAAGCGTGCCGAGGACTGTGAAGGAGTGTGTGTTGCCGAGTGCAGAGCTCGTCCCGATAGCTGGGAGCACTTTTGGGCGATCTCGATCATTGAGACCCGATACATCCGCCCAGCAAGGCACGGGTACACGCGAGCAGGAGAAGTTTCAGATGAGCGACAGGAAACAGCACCGATTGATACTGCCACAAGGTTGGGTTGAATCAGCCCTTGGCTGGGGCTCCGAGACTTTGCAAAAAAAACTGAACGAGACGTCTTTTCGTCCTTGCTCGCTGTGCTGCATCTCTCTCAGCCCAAGGATTTGCAGGAAGATGCTCTGTGCTCTGACCGCGGCGGTCCCTGGGCCATCCCGAGCTGATGGGCGCTCCATCAAGGCAGGCTCGCGTGGCGGCCACGCGGGCGAGCTGCCGCCGGAGTTGCTATACCGGGGGGGCACTGTCCCCGTCAGAGCACGATCTCGTCACCAAGTGCACAGCTCTCCGACGCACCAGGCCGACAGTGTATCATCCTCCTAGTGGCTGTTGTTCGTCCCACCACAAAGATTTCACCTCCTGCAGAGCATGACGACCCACAAAAGGGTGTGCTTACTCTCCTCCAGAAGCCGTGCGCGTCCCGCTGCACGCTCGCAGATCGCAACCAACGTGTCCGGAACACACATACCCGCCGTCCGGGCCACACGGCTCTCGTCATCCAACGGAGAGACATCGTTCGGGAGGGCCGGTCGCCTTGATCGCGCCACCTCATCTGCTCCTTACGTCCGTTGGGCCCGTCTTACAGATTCGTGCGCCCCGCATCTGATCCCTGCGACCAGGCGGCTTCAGCGACTCCGGCGAGCCGGGCTTCTGTTTCACCCGCCACAACTCGCCGCCGGCCCCGTGCCGCAAGGGACGTCTTGTGTTGCGTTCCCGCCTACCACTCCGAGCCGCTCGGGCCCCACCAAGGCCGGAAACTGCGGCAATCACTTGCGCTGCATAATTATAATTAACGAGGACGCGCACGCTGGGTCTGCCGGCGGCCCGCACGGCGTAAACGGGTTCGAATCAAAGGCGTTGCGTTGCAGCGGATCTGCGCTTTTTTCTTTTTTCTTTTTCTTTTTCTTTTTCACGTGGCGTATCCGTCAACGTTTCGTTGTGTGCGCCAGTGGTCCCACTTCTCGCGTGCACGGTGCCCTGTCGATCAAAACATCGTAATGATGAAAGCACCGAGCGACGATCCCAACTCGCCTTTCGAGGCCCAACGACCAAAAAATGTGCCCGCGCGCGCGGGAACGACATTCGTACAATAACGTGGCCGAGCACTGGCTGCGTTGGCGACGAGAGATGACAGCAAGGTAGGAGGAGGAGCGCGCGCCCGTGTGCAGGTGAGATGCTCAAACCATCTGATGATCAACGCTCCCGCAGATCGCTTAGGCAACCTGCGTGCCGTCATGCCCCACGGCTGACGGAGTGCGGGCGGGGCGCGACGGCGGCGCAGGTGAGCCCGTCTGTGGTCGGACGCGTGCGGGTGCCGTCGGTGCGTCCGCGCTCTGCGCGTGGCCCTCCCGCCCTCTACGCCCTCTACGCCCTCGTGGAAGTGTGCCTCCGGATCGCATCGAAGCGATAGACGAATAGGCGTACCGGGTGCCGCCGGCGGCAATCGCTGAGGCAATCTGGGTGTGCCTACAAGCGCACCCAGCGGACGCCCTGCGTAAACACGGGCCTCGGGATGTGCTCGTGCAGCGCACGGTGGTGCGTGCGGAATGGAGAGAAAGTCTGCGCGTCGAGGAACTGAGCCGTGTATACCGCAGGGGCCGGGCGCGCCGCTGAGCCGTCACGCATGGCACAGCGAGCTTCGTTTGTGCAAGTCGGAGAGCGCGTTGCAAGGCCGGACCAGGCGGGAGTGCACGCGTAGCCCTTGGTTCTGACACGTGGAGCGGTGGCCCACCCTGTATTCGCTCGGGCCAACGGACTGGCGGTAGATGGTGCATTGCTTGGATCACTGGTGCTCGACATGAGGCAAATATTCGTGCTCATAGGCTGTTCTTCCGCTCCGCCGGTCCAAGAAGCGGTGTCCAGGATCGGTGAATTAGTAATAAGCTTGCGGTCGCAGAGGTGGTGAATCGTAGAGAGCTTGCATGGATGACTGGCGGTAGATGACGCGTCGCCTGGACCTATGGAAACCGAACTGAGGCGAATATTCATGCCCACAAGCCGTTCTTCCGCTTTGCCGGTCAAGACTTTGCAGGGGGCAATGCCCGCAGTAGTCGGCGATCTCGTAATAAACTTGTGGTCGCAGTGGAATCGTAGAGAATTCGCATGGGTGACTGGCGATAAATGATGCGTTGTCCGGACTAGTGGAGCTCGAACTGAGGCAGACATCCGTGTTAACGAGCTGTTCTTCCGCTTTGCCAGTCGAAAACTCGCAAGAGGCGGCGCCCAAAATCGACTATTTGGTATGAGCTTGCGGTCGCAGGCATGGCGAATCGCAGAGAACTTGAACGAGTGACTGGCCATAAATGATACACTGCCTGGACCAATGGAACTCAAACTGAGGCAGACATCCGTGCTCACAAGCCGTTCCTCCCCTTCGCTGGTCGAAACTTTGCAAGAGGCGGCGCCCCAAAATCGGTGAATTGGTGATGAGCTGGCAGTAGCAGAAGTAGCGGATCGCAGAGAACTTGGACGGGCGACTGTCGATAAATGATGCACTTCCTGGACTATTGGAGCTCGAACTGAGGCAAACATCCATGTTCGCAAGTTGTCCTTCCACCTTGCCGGTCGCCGGTCGGAATTTCGCAAGAGGCGACACTCATAATCGGTTAATTCGTAACGAGCTTGTGATTGCAGAGGTGACAGACCGCAGAGAACTTGCGTGGGTGATGTACGCGACTGTAGCGACAACAAACTGAGGCAGTATCCATGTCCACCAGCTGTTCTTCCGCTTTGCCGGTCGAAAATCCGCGAGAGGCGGCGCCGAGATCGGTAAAGCGGTAATAAGCTTGCGGTCGCAGAGGTGGCGAACCGCAGAGAATTTTGCACGGGTGATGTCCGCGACTGTAGCAACAGCAAAACAGCACAAGCGTGTCGATGTCTACACTGGTATAATCAATGAACTTCCCGAAAATAATCGCCGTGGAGGTGCGGAAGTAGAGCGCCGGAGCTGCGTGCCTGTTGCCCACGGCGATCCTATGCACCGAGGCGAGTATTCATTACGTTTATCTCCATGGAGCTTCCTTCATGATACGCGTCAGGAAGCCGTACGGCATCCCGTAGAATGGAGGCCCGCAAACCCTGGAGACCTGGATCAAAGACCCGCGTACACGGCGACAAGAGCTGGAACGGTAAGCCTGACCTGGACGTAGACTGCGCACCCTGAGCGCGAGAAGCCGACGTCGCTTTTTGTTCAATGTCTTCGCCATCGGCCGCAATCAGTAGCGAGCGTGCGCCACAGCAAGAAAAAAAAATCATGTGCCACATTGCTTTGCTGATGACCGCGCAGCACGATGTGCGATGGGCTGGACGATGCCGCAGGGTTCGACCGACGCAGTGCCATGGCCAAAACCAAGAGTCTGGCATCCTCACCAGGCGCGGGACAGCATATGAGAACTGCCTCGAGCATTGTTCCGTTAGCTTCGCCACATGCTGTACTAACCTGGTGCGAGACCACTGTCAGCATGAGCACGCAGAAACGTAATTGCCGCCCGAGTCCGGGAAGGTTCTGCACTGCCGAGCTCGGGGGACGGGCTGTGGCACGACAAGAAAAATGAAGGGCAAACGCTAGCGCAGAATGGGTCTGGAGTGCCTGGTCAGGGTTTGCCTTGACGCAGGCTGTAGGGCCTCACAAAGCTGAATAGCTTCAAACGCGTCCGCCTGGTGAAGTGTGTCAGCGTGCCATTGGATACGGAAATACCTCACAGCATCGTACACAGTAAGAGGTAGCCATGTCTCATTGGTTTAAACATCTGTTTTAATAATAGCGGGCCAAGGAAACATCTGTAGGAAAGGTCGGTGCAAACCGCAGCGAGCATTGGGGCTGTGAACCAGAGCAGCTGCCGGCATACCTTCGTACTTGTCTGCATCGTAGCAAGAGCAGGTACTATACTTCAAAGAGGAAAGTCGCATTTATTTTAGCATAGTGCGAACTCTGGCATGTAGCCTGCGAAATGCATGTGAAGGAGGTCAGAGGTGGAGGCGAACCTAGTTCGGACTGCCTGATTAGGGCAAGAATAGCACTTTGATGGTATCACGGTAAATGCCGAGAGTAGTTCCGCCCCCGGGCGCGGGGGATGTTGTCAGGGCCGGACGCCCACCACCTTCACCTAACAGCTCTCCCTCAATCTGATACATGTGAGAAGGGTTTGTGACACAGAGACGAGGGTACTGACGTATGAACTTCAAACGCAAGAATATTGCTCAAATTTCCTCTGGATTATGAGTAACGATGACCACCACTCCCAACATTGAAGGCATCATGCTCTTTGAGCAGCCGTTCGCCAGGGTATGCCGCGGTTTCCATCTGAGCTGATGGAAAACGTAACACCGCCTAGTAGGTCCCGTACGAGAACTATCGCAAGGTGTTCCGGGTGACGCAAAAGAATATCGAGAAGGAACTTGGGACACTGCAAACCGCGGCCGCGGACCTCGTGCGCAAGGCACAGACGGGCGCCGTCGCCCAGGAGGACGCCTCGAAGGCGGTGGAGGCCATGCTGAAGCGAACAGAGAACCTGAGCGCAAGGTGCGTCACTGCATGTGTTTCGCGGTGCCCACAGCCTGACGGGACTGGCTGTTCGCACAGCTCGGCGACCTCCAGAAGAACGCGGGCACGCCGACGCTCGAAGTGATGCGCGAACGCCTCGAGCTGCTGGCATCAGTCGAGTCGGTGCAGTCGGCTGCCTCGCCAGAGTTCGATCGTTGGGCGGACACCAGGCTCGATCGCTGGCTGACGGACTGGGCACTGCGTTCGGGAAAGGAGCGGACAGCCAGGAAGCTGGCCCAGGCTCGCGGCATAGAGGTAAAGTTGCTTCATTGACCATTGCTGCATTGTTGACACCTTCCGTAGCGCCTAGTCGACCTTGAGTTGTTCTCGGAAATACGGCGGGTGGAGGAGGCGTTGAAGAAGCACAGCTGCGCCGAAGCACTTGCGTGGTGTAGCGAGAACAAGGCCGCGTTGCGCAAAGTCAAGGTAAGCATCGAGCTTTTGTTACAAATGCTGCTGTGACTAATCGTTAGGTGAAGAATCCCCTGGAATTTGAATTGCGCCTTCAGGAATTTATTGAACTTGCCCGGGATCGAAAGCTCATGGAAGCAATTGCATATCAGAAGAAGCATCTCATACAGTGGCAGGAGACCCATTCGGTGCAGATTCAGCAGGCGTCGGCTTTGCTCGCCTTCACCCCTGCTACAGCGTTTGGGCCGTACAAACGACTCTACGATCTTGCTCGATGGGACAACCTGGTACAATCCTTCCGCCTGGCCATCTACAATCTCAGCACACTACCGACAGAACCTCTGCTCTACCTCGCCATGTATGCTGGCTTGGCATCCCTCAAGCTTCCCTCCTGCTATATCCATGAGACGAAGAACGTCGACTGTCCCGTCTGCGATCCTGACCTCGGACTGCTGGCCAAGGAGGTTCCCTTTAGCCACCACGTCAACTCGACTATTGTCTGTCGGCTGGCCGGAAAGATCATGGACGAGAACAACTTCCCTTTGGCATTCCCCAAGAACGGGCATGTCTACTCTAAAGAGGTGCGCGCGTCCTCTGGAAGCTGGCTCATGGCTGTATCTGACCGCTGTCCCTAGGCGTTAGAAGATATGGCGGCGATCAACGACGGGACGGTCACATGTCCGCGAACGAAGGAGACATGCCATTTCACAGAGCTGCGGAAGGTTTTTATTTCGTAATGACGGTTCAGTTTGGTAACGTTCTCACGCTCTGTACGTTGCATTGTATCATTACTGTACAGTATCATCATAGGATTCCAATGCACCTCACCTACACCCATCCCGCGAGCGTGCAGCGCGCTGCCATCCCGCTTTGTACTCTTTCCAGGTCCATTCCGCGTTCGAGGAAATGTTTACTTACGTTCCAGGTATCTACACCACTATTATGCACTCTCTTAGCCCACTGCGATCCGGTCGTCTCCCGCCATGCGAACCTGGGACGACCGCTGGCGCCAAAAGGGCGCTTCGCGTAATGGCCGTATCACCTGGACGGCATGGTGAGCTTCGTTCTCGCTTCGTTCTCGCTTCGTTATCTTTGGTGCATGGACTTATCGTTATCAAGGTTGTTCTGTGCCTAGTCGTTGGAGTGGCGGCAACGTCTTCCCCCATGGGTTGCATCAGCATATAAGGCGGAGAAGCAGTGAAGGGAGCGCGCTTGCCCCGTCCTGACTCGACGGCTGATTCTGGCGAAGGACTCCGAGCGGCTATGGCACTCCGGCCTGCGAAGCGGCTTTTGCGGAAGTTGGAGGTTGAGCATGACGAAAATCTGACGTATTCTCAGCTGTTTCTCGCGGTATGTCATGCGACCTATCCAAGAAGTTCGTCTGGTTTTTATTTATTGGTGGCAGAATGACGACCTTCTTCCCGTTGTCTCGGAGAAGCGTACCTGGAGAACGTGGAACTTTATCGCTTTGTGAGCCAAGTATGTGTACGAATGTCGGCGTTCGCTCATTTGCATGCAGCTGGATTGCAGACAGCTTCAACATTAACACGTACGTCATAATTCGTGATTTCCTCTTCAGCTGGCTGATAGAATTCTTAGATGGATGATAGTCTCATCCATGGTCCAGCTCGGCCTCTCTTGGTGGCAAGCATGGATCTGCGTCTGGCTGGGCTATTCATTCGTTGCGCCCTTCATCGTTCTCAATGCCCGTCCCGGAGCTGTCTTCCATATTACGTTCCCCATCGTCGCACGAACGAGCTTTGGACTGTACGGTAGCCTGTGGCCAGTTTTCAACAGAGGGGTGATGGCCTGGTGCGTTTAAATCACCTAACTCTCCTTTCACGACTGCCTGATTTCTTGAGGTAGCATATGGTATGGTGTGCAGGCCAGCATAGGCGGAAGCTGCGTTTTTGTCATGCTCAGAGCGATATGGCCAAGTGTCAACAATATCCGTGAGTTTCTTGGTCCTGTGCAGAGGTGCCTGCTGACCCTCGCGCATAGCCAACCACATGTCAGCGTCCTCAGGAATCGATACAAAAGACTTTATGTGCTTCTTTCTCTTCTGGCTCATCTCTCTTCCCGCAATCTGGTTCCCCATACACCAGATGTCAGTGCTCATTACCATATTCGCGGTCTGATCGCTGAACCGATTACAGTCGGCATTTGTTTACGGTCAAAGCCATCGTTGTACCAATCGCAGGTATCGCATTCTTCATCTGGTGCATAGTAAAAGCGCATGGCGTTGGCTCTGTCATCCACCAGCCGAGCACCATACATGGAAGCACGCTGGGCTGGAACATGGTCGCCAGTCTCATGTCTTGCATCAGCAACATGGCGACACTGGTCACGTCTGTAACCGTAGTCTCATTTTTCCGGGCAACCCACTCACAGTCTATACGCAATAGGAACGCGCCGGATTTCGCCTCGCGCGCGACACACCCCTCAGCCACGGTGTGGCCTCAGCTGCTGGCGGTGCCCCTAGGCTTCTCGATTGTCAGCTTCATCGGGATCATTGTTAGCTCGTCATCGCAGACGCTCTACGGCGAGGCCATCTGGTCTCCTATCGACCTCCTCGACAAATTCCTCGACAACTCGCCCTCGCACGCGACGCGTTTCGGAGTATGTGTCTTCTCCTTTCTTCCTTGACGGCGCGGAGCTGATAGGCCGTGATTGTAGGTGTGGTTCATTGCCACGGCGTTCATCATCGCGCAGGTTGGTAACATCATGTTGAATGACAGCGTATCAGTGTTGCTGATAGGAAAACTGACTACCCGCTTCCCAGCTTGGGTGAGTGAGCACCAGTTACCGGGTAGCGTAGCCTGATCCTTGTGTGCAGAACGAACATCTCGGCAAATTCTATTAGTGCTGGTTGCGATCTAACCGCACTGTTTCCCCAGTACATCGTACGCGCGCCCTTGCCGACAGTTAATGCCCAGAGTTGAATGTCTGCTGCAGAACATCCGTCGCGGTGGCTTCGTCGCAGCAGTCGTCGGTATCTGCATGCTGCCATGGAATCTCCTGAAGAGCAGCAATAATTTTAGCTCGTACCTTTCGGCGTACTCTGTCTTCCTCAGCTCCATTGCGGGTGTCATGGTACGTCCGCTTATTCATTCGTCTAAGTTGGCGATGCAGTGATGCCGCGGTCGCAGATCTCCGATTACTGGCTGGTACGCAGGGGGCGGTATCGTGTCAAGGACCTGTACACCACAGACAGACAGGCGTGGTACTGGTATACGTACGGTATCAACTTCCGGTGAGCTGTTGTCTCGGCCAGAGATCCACATGCAGGGCTGACGGTCGTTGCAGCGCGTACGCTGCCTACATCGCGGGTATCCTAATTAATGTTGTCGGCTTTGCCGGTGCCAGTACGTTGAAACGTTTTGCTTCGCGCTTGCAGAGAGTGATCGTCCGCCACAGCCGGTCGGACGGTGCCCACGGCTGCCACACACATCTACCAGATGTCCTTCTTCACCGGCTTTGGAGTGTCAGCTATAATCTACTGTGCATTGAGCTACACTTTCCCGCCAATAGGAGTACATGCAACCTTCAAAGAAGAAGACCTATCGGAGAGCAAGGCAGAAGACGAAGGCTTGCAGGAGACGAGCAGTGTTGAGAAGAAAGAAGAAGCATTTATCTCCGTAGATGTTGTGTAGTCTCTAGAGACAGTAGTGTACTACGCTCGATCTTGCATACCCCCAGCCGGCTGCCTGCTTTTTTCTCGAGATAATCGACCAATCGGACTCAAGTTCCGCTATCGCCGCTTCTACCATTATGGGCGCTTATACGACGTTCAATGCTTGCCCGTGCCTCGTTGGGTTCACAGCCAACCACCTCATCCAGGCTCTGCTCCTCCGACTGCCGACCACTCAAGCTCATTCCAAATATTTGTGCTGCGCTATGGCCGAGAGGTACGCCAACTCATACCATGGGAGAAAGAGCAAATTCCTGGGCAATGAAGCTCGGGTGGCACCAGCATGGAAAGACCAGGCGAAAGCCAGGACAGCAAACGGACAGCTAGCTCCGAAGAGCAAGATTATCCTAAGTTATCTCCCACCCGATGTTGGTCCAGACGAGGTTAACGTATGTTGAACCCCTGTTGTAACATATGGTTCGATGAAGCTGACGTTCGTCTGCTGCTGCCACACAGAGCCTGTTTGTGAAGACAGTCGGACCTGTCCAGGATGCATTCGTAGTCTACAACTCGCAAGGCAATTCGAAGGGCATGGCTGTAGTGGCCTTCTATAAACCAGAGTCGGCTACGCTTGCACGCCAGAAGTACAACGGGAAAATCATCGACGGCAGTAAGTATGCGTCGCACGTCTGTAAGTTCTCGAGATACGGCAGCTTCATGCAATACGGTTCTGTGAAACGACAGGACGTCCCATAAAGATCGAGATTATCAAGGACGAAGACGATGCACCAAGAGCCAACGGAGTGCCACAGGCTGCACCGTCTCTGCTCCAGCGAATGGCAGGCCCCGCGCCTATATTCACAGCGCAACCGCAAAGTTCAAAACAGTACGTCTGCGGATATTGTTGTCAGTATAGTGACTGAACGCCCTATAGGTCGACCAAGAAAGCGGCTGCATCAACCCGTGCACCCGCTGCAGCGGCCTCTCGTGTTGCTGCAAACCCTCCCCGTAAGCAAAGGCGAAAGAAGGGGCCGAAGAGGGTGAAAAAGGCAGTTACTGTTGCTGACCTGGACGCCGAGATGGAAGACTATCGTGCTCAGGCTCAGGCGACCGAGGATGTGAAGGACTAGTGATTCTCACAAACTGTGTCTCTAGGCGAAACGCTTGTCTCAAATCACCTTCCTTCTCTTGGTGCTTCTGTTGTATATCGTTCGTTAAGTAATTAATGCTGTCCATATGCTATAGTAGTGCGCCTTATAACCCTGCATTCCCCTATCCTGGTCAACTAGGACATGGCCAAGGTCAAGCGGCCAGAGGTGAAGGACCCTGGCCAGGGGGCTGCCCAGGTTCGGCCAGGGCGAGAGTGCGAAAAAAGAGATGTCGAGAGAGAGGTCAAACTTACACAAAGTCCTCGCACACCTTCCAGTTCGCGGAGGGAGCGACCCTCACCGGTCACCCACCACGAAGCCGCTAAATATATGCACGAGTAAGTATGGTTAGATGTCGTACTACGATACATATGTCACAGAGGTACTAGTTAATTGTGCACTTATATGCCTTTCCGCGCCTTCATAAACATATTTTGTGCGAAATCAAGCATACAAATTAGTATTGTATTTAGAGAACTCTTTGGCTCTATTAATGCATGATCCATGGCTCGCTGTACCTTACAAGGGGCACTACATAATAGACCTGATGTACTATTTACAGAGAGAGCAGCGCCAGACACAGTCCCGACACGGCAGATTCGGGTTAGGGCTTAGGTCGATTTAGGCGCCCATTGGTTAGTTGCGGAGTCCCTTCCAACCGCGCCCACCGTAGCTTTCGTCCCCTGCTCCAACATTCTCGGCGTTTCTCGCATGTAGCTTGTACCCCGCCACGGTCTCTCCTCCCGGAATGTCTGGAACAACATCCTTCTTCACATATCAACCTGCTACGTGAATTACCACTCGTCTGTTCTTGCAAACCAAGATGTTGATCTAGCCACTTCAACTCGAACGCGATAGAGTGATTCTACAACGTCTGTTACGACAGGGCTACCACTCAATGACGCTGCGGGCTTCTGCCGCACTGGCACAACTTAATTAAGTCGCTCACCAGCCGTCAGTTGAGCTGCGTACGCAGGAGAAGTTCCAGCCGAAGCTGAATGTACGAGGATATGATAAGATGGGAAGCAATACGTAAGGGTCTGGGAACGTGCACGCAAAAATCCTAGCCTGTGAGTCAAGGTTTGATGAGGGATTAAAAACCTTCACTGAGGCTCAACGGACGCTAAGAAGCCTGACTTCTTACTGTCAGAATCTTGGGACGCTGTTAGGTACCATGTACAAGCCCCAGAGCCTGACAATACAGTCAAATTTCCGACTTTTGTCCGGTATGTCCTCACAGAGATGCTTTCAATCAACTCTCGAACATTCACGCCGCGGTGCAGGTTACGACATGCCTATTCTCGGGTTGGGGGTCTACGAAAATTGGGACTGCTACCCGAGCTGTCTTACAGCTATCGAAGCAGGATACCGGTACGTTTACCTATCGCGCTTCCAGAACAGCCTCAGAGACAACTGATGTGCGAAGGCACATCGACTCTGCACGCTACTACGAAAACGAGGAGCAGGTCGGACAGGCCGTACGCGAATGTGGTCTTCCTCGCAAGGAGCTATTCGTCAGTGCGTACAATCACCTGAGCGATGGCAAAAGCCAACGTCATCGCGTTTGGTAGCGTCCAAGATCTATCATCCTGACTTTGGTTACGAAAGCACCTTACGATGCTTTGACGAATCCTATCAAAAGCTTGGGCTAGGTACTCTTTCTCTTTCTTTCCCACGTCATTGTTAAAATTATACCAGAGTACATCGACTTGTATATGATCCATTCTCCAGTATCTGGAAAGAAGCGCCGCCTCGAGACCTGGCGTGCGCTCATCAAGAGACGAGACGAAGGCAAAGTGCGTAGTATTGGTGTCAGCAACTAGTGAGCGAGTACTTCCATAAGCGTTCGCTAAAATTCATCAGCTGTCTTCCAGCAACATCAGGCACATTGAGGAGATTCTCAAGGCTGGCCTGGAATTGCCTGTGGTTAATCAAATTGAGGTACGCGCGAGATACTAGGAGACGTCGTTCATAGCTTAAGAACTCTATCCTATAGATTCATCCCTACTGCCAGCAGAGACCTATCGTTGAGTATTGTCGGGAGAAGGGTATCGTGGTGCAAGCGTACTGTCCTCTCATTCGAGGCGCGTTCCACGATTCCATCTTCGAAGAAGTGGCAAAAGAGGTACAATATCGCGCGCTACATAACTCCACTGAACTGAGCAACGCTGTGCAGTACGGCAAGACGATACCACAAATCCTCATTCGATGGTCGTTACAACATGGGTATGTCCGGGAGCAGAGCCTCCGCTATTTCCAATACTGATTGAGTTTTCGCTTAGGTATTCGCCTTTGCCCAAATCGTCTCAGGACGGCCGTATCCGTGAGAATGCTGCAGTATACGACTTCGATATCAGCCCGGAAGACATGGCCAAACTCGACGCTATGGATAAGGGTGACGCGGGAGCGTGCCAGTGGAATCCAATCCATGTCGCGTAGATCTCTTACGTACCCATGTGTCTTGATTTGAATGTCTCGCCAAGCCCTCGCGGCCTCCCGACGAATCCTGCTAATTGCAGGGGACGAGCCGGCGGATCCATCGGATCATGGATCTCGGATTGACCGCGTCAGTTGCCTATTATAGTAATTGCGATGAAGCATATTAGCCTCGTCGGCAGGTGCCGGACGCCACCAAGTATGCATCGATCGGGCCTGTATGATCCGATATTTGGCTTCAATCTCTTCGCACTCAAGTTCACGGTCTTTGCCCTCGTCTCGCTGCGTGCATATTATGCTCAAATACCTGTTCCAATCACGAATAATGTGCAGCACAATGACCTCTGGGAGGTCTCCTAGCTGCTACTACGGACCCGACCCAACGACCCCCCGGGGTCTCGCTGACGATCGTCACCAGTTTGCACGTACCGTTATGGCCCGAGATGCGACAAACGCCGCGTCTCCTTCGCGCAAGCTGGCTGGACTTGGGCCATTACATCTACGCCGCCCAAAATGTCATTCCGCCCGCGGATCCGACGGATATCCTACTTCTTGTTTGCCGTTCCTCGTCATACACAGTCGTCTATAATACGACGATATCCCATCACGGCTAGTCTTCATTTGTATGCCTGGGATGGTGCTGCCTGGCCGCAAGCGCGGAGCTAGAGTAGCACTACCCCTAGTCAGACATGTCATTCCGCGCGGAAGCGCATTGCGATGTGGACTGCTTGAGAGACGGAAGGCTTGTTTCAGTCTGTCTATGCATTGGAGTATAAAAGATGCTGAGCTCGTGGTACGCCATACAAAAGTTCTAGTTCTACCTTACTGTTGACGGATACCTCACACTAAACGCAAGCGCAGTTACTGATTCATCCTCAATGGCGGTGCCAGAGCGTAACTTGCATCCGTTGGTCACCGGTCCGATAGTGTTCTTCACGTTCGCTGGAGCAGTATGCACCCTAGCCGTTGTTTGGGAGGCTTGTATCGTTGGTTTGCTTCTGGTGACCTCATCGGGTCGTATTAGCCCATGGTATGTTTCCGCTTTCTTCCTTAAGATACGGTGATTGATTAGATATGCATAGATAAATTCCCTTCCCAGCATACCCATGTGCCGTATTCGCATAACGCTATTAATTCCAAGTGCAGAGTATCGTGAGTAGACGCCTCTCTCCATTTGACGCGCCTGCATTGTCTAATTCATGGTTTTGCCAATAGATTCGATTTCTATTGTCGTACTTATGTAGAAATCGCTCGAGTAGCTTTCATTCTAACGCTACTCTAGCCAATTCTACGCGACAAGTATGCAGATGGACCCAAAAGTTGCTTCAATTGCGACAGAAGAGTTTAGACAACGTGGTCACAGTACTTCAGAGGGCGCCGCCTTTTTTATTAATTAACTTCTCTCGACAATGTTTATTTTGTTGAATGCAGTTACTCATGCATGTCTATTTGCGTTCAGCATATAGTAGTCCAGAACACCATTGGTTTTTGATATCAGTATGTTGCGGCGATAACATGAAGGCGAACAGTAGATTGAGCCCAAGCTGACTACTCGTCACCAGCCCCGATAAGGTTTTCGGGGTACCGCCCCGGCGTTTGAGCACGCTCACGTGAGAGACGCGGCAACGCGAGGCGGGCAGGCGCTAGTAGTTAGCCGCGTGCTGCTTACCTAAGCAGCAGCGGAAGTTCGACTTGCGGCTTGAGCGTGTGCGGCTTGAACCAAACCTCTATTTTCGCTTTCTTTTCCTGAATATTTGTTGCGACATCGACGGCGTTAGGCCACAGCGATGTCGACAAACGTCTACTCTAATCTTCCCCCTCAAGCTCGCCGTCATCCGCTGCCAACACTGCTGCAAACAA